AAACTTCACTTTTCAAGTCAAATTGCTTTAAAAACTATATGGAAAATTTTTTTTTTCTTTGAAACAGGAAATGTAACCTTACTTAGTTCCATAGAGTAATCAAAGGCACAATACAATAATGCATGTTGGTTCATATGATTGCCCAAAATAATTCAGCAGCCACTACTTTCAACTGAGTATGGGTGTCTTTTGGGGAAACTAAAAAACTTTTGATTGACTTTGAAGTGCTTGTCTGTCTCATTCTAGACTTATAAATTTCAGTCTCCATATGTTCTTTCACATCTTCTCCACCATACCCAATCCCAAATTCTTTGTATAAAGTACAGTGTGCTGTTTTCGTTATTTACCTTCCTAATCCAGCTATATTGTCCTTCCATCTGTTATTAACATTATACAATTATCTACCTTTCTTTTTCATGATGTCTGGGCCATGTTGTTGTTGGTATTATAATTAGTCTCATTTTCATTATCTTAACTCTTATAAAGCATAGTCACCATATTCATAGTGTTAAAAAATTTAAGTTACATGAGGCACATTGGTTAATTCACAGGCAAAATCAAAGATGGACTGCTAAAGCTTATGATTACAACACACTTAAATTGCACACTTAGGTCACATCCCTCAGAATGACACACCAATGAATGATCATTACTGTGAAATGCAAATCATGGTAATCAATATCAATGGTTGGGCACAAAAACAATAATGTATCCATTTGACACTAAAAGCAGTGTTACTTTCAGCTCCTATTTTGGGAGGCAGTCATATGGATTTTGTACTTTTTACCCAACCTCCCACACTCATCACAGAAGACCAGAATTTTTTTTGGTATGTCGTGGGAGGGTTGCCTAGGATGTGGGTATTTCAGTGTTAAAACCTGGAAGGTCAGACGAATCAAGACAGTTGGTCACTCTTCCCACCTATACTGGCCAGATGTATCCCCTTCGTCTAAGCAGTACACCCATTTCCCTATCTGCTGTGAGTGCTGGCTCATAACTCTCAGCTGCCCGCTTCTAGAAGAATTGCAGGCCCAACAGGAGCCACCTTGCTAGAAGGCTCCCATTCCCAAGCCCAAGGACAGACCTAGGCCAATAACTGACATCAGAGTTCAAAAGGCCAACCCTTGCTACAGTGTGGGACTTGCTCTAAGGGTACAATTTGCGCTCTAGGGCTTCCTTGGAATCAACTTAAGCTAGCCATCAGCTGAGACCATATTCTTGCTAGCTTTCCCCCTTGCCCTATGCTGTCTCCTTTATTCCCATATTCCCTAGAGCACTTCCCTCAATAAGTCACTTGAACAAGAATCCCTATCTCAGGCTTTTCTTCTAGGGAACTTCACCTAGGATATGATCCGAAGTTGTTTTCCATTTCCTCGACCAGTAGTCCAAGACCACCTACTGAGATTGATCTATTGTGTTCCCAGTGATTTGCAGTTTCACCTGTCAGTCACACACACACACACACACACACACACACACACACACACACACACGCAGCTCTATATTGAAAAAGTATGTGTATTGATAATCACAGGATACTCAGAAAATAAAAAAGAACCACTGAGCAAAAATGCAAGCATCAAATAGTTTTGATTTGAACATGGAAACTTTAACAAGAAATCAATTGTATTCTTTATCATATAAGTACTGACTTTTAAATGGTACTTAGCTTTTAACTGAAAATATTTCTTGGAAATTTTTAAATATACCATAAAAATATTGACATCATAAAACAATGTGAAAAGGTGCCTCATAATTATTGCAGAATTTTTAGATATATATAATTTATATAGTATATATAATACATAAACTTGAGAGATGTATGTATCATGAATACACATATTTATAAATTTTTATATATTTTACATACATTTAATACATATGTAAAGATACACATATAGAGAGATATGTATTCAAGATACATATGTTCTCAAGTTTCCATATTAGCACATATTTGCTTTAGAGATTTCTATTCATTTGGTCTTTCTTTTTTTTCTTTTCTTTTCTTTTCTTTTCTTTTTTGTCTATCCCTGCATCAATAACACATCTCGATTACTGTAGTTGTATAAGTCATGATTTATTGTAGATCAAGTCACCTCCACTTTGTTTTTCTTCTTTAAAATTGCCTTAGCTCTTCTTGGGCCTTTTTATTTAACATAAATTTTATATTTATCTCATCAATTTCTATGGAGAAAATCTGGCATGATTATGATGGAAATTTCATTGAATTGATAAGATTCATTTTTGGAGAATAGACATCTCTATTACATCAAGTTTTCCTCTAGATGAATATATAGTATAGCTCTCCATTTATTTAGTTCTTCTTTAATGCCTTTCAGTGGCATTTTGCAATTTTTTTCATGGGTTTTTTATACATCTTTTGTTAAATTTATTTGTAGTTTCCTTATTTTTTTGCTGTTGCTATTGTAATGATAAAAAAGTCATTACATTTACTGTTTCTCATGCATAGGAATGAAATTGATTTATGTATAACTTCTATGTAGAACTTTGGAAATGCTTTTAGTAATTCTAATAATTTGTCTCCAGATTTTCTTGGAATTTTTATAGACAGTCATATTTCCTGTGATCGCCATTTTTATTTATTCTTCTTTACTATGTTTGACAGGAGCTCTAATTTATTTGCTAAATATAAGTGTTATAGGAAGGCATACTTGTCTCATGCCTGATTTTGCAGGGAATTGTTCTGTTTTACCATAAATTATGATGCTTGCTCTGGGTTTTTGGTACATATCCTTTTATGAATTGTTTATCAAACAGTTTTCCTCTATATATTGAAATGAGAATACACTTAAACATAGTTTGAATTGCGCAGGTCCACTATGTATAGGTTTGTTTGTTTGTTTTTTTGATAAATACTCGTACTGTTTTCTATTAGCAGTTGAGAGCCTGCAGATGCAGAGGGCCAACTGTATGCATGATCTATGTATGCCATTTTACATAGAAGACTTTAGCATCCATAGATTGGGGCATCCATAGGGGTCCTGGAATCGATCTCCCGTGGATACTAAGGGACAACTTAAGTTTTTGGAGAGTCAAAGTTATAAGCGGATTTCCGTGTGGGGACTGATGCCCTTAACCCTATGTTGTGCAAGGATCAGCTGTATTTACGTGGTGAGTTATATTAAAGTTAAATTATCCTAGCATTTCTGAGATAAACCCAAACTGACTATGATTTATTTATTTATATAGAGCTAAATTATATTTAATATTTGATTAGGATTTGTGCATCTGTTCGCATAAATGAACCAGTCTGTATTTTTCATAACTACACTGTTGTCTATTTTTGGTGTCAAGGTTAAACTAGCCCTGAAAAATTCGATAAGAGTGCTCCCTCTATATCTGTTCTCTAGAAAATTTAATATAAGATTGGAATTTTCTGTTGTTTGAAGATTTTGTAGAACTCAGTAGTAAAATAATTTAACCTGTTGAATTTATTTGTTTCCTTGGTTGGTAAATTTTCAATTACTAATTCAACTTATTTCATATATATTTAAAAATTCAGAATTTCTATTTCCTCAATTTTGCTGTTATATTTTTCTAAGAAAATCTACATTTTGTCTAATTTTCAACTTATTAGCAGAAAATTGTTTCTAGTATGATTTTACTACCTTTAGATCTTTAATGTATCTTATCTTTAATGTATCTTTAATGTATCTTATCCTCTTTTTATTCCTCAAATTCTTTATTTGTACCTTTTCTTTTTTTCTTGATCGGTCTTATCAAATATTTGCCTATTATTAAAATCTTTACAAAGAAACAGCTATTGACTTTATTACTTCTCTGTTGTATGTTTTCTGTTTCATTATTTTCTGTTTATTCTTTCTTCAGATTTATTCTGATTTTTTCTTAAGTTGAATGCTTAGCTGTTTAATTTCTGCCTTTATTTTTTAATATTTTTAATGTTTTAAAGTTATAATTTGAGTAGTATTTTAGCTTTATGTCACAAACCATATTAGTAATATTTTCACTATCATTTGGTTCTAAATGATTTCTAATTTGTTACATTTTCATGACCCATGAAGTATTATGTTGAAGTGTACAGCTAATCTTCAAATGTTTATTTTTAAGCTATTGTTTATTATTGATTTCTAAGTTAATTACACCATGGATGATGGTCAGAGAACATGGTCCAATTGAGAATGTCTTTAAAATTGTTGAACTTAGAATGTGATCAGTATACATAACTGTTCAGTGTATACTTGAGAAGAATATGTGTTCTCTAATTATTGGGTGGAGGGTTCTATGTATAAATGTGGAGTAAAAATTGTGTTGTTCAAGTCTTCCATAATCTAATTTTTTTAAACTACTTATCTACTAGTTACTGAGAAAGCTATGTTAAATCTCTGTGATAATGGATTTGTCAGTTTTGCCTGTAATTCTGTCAGTTTCAGCTTTTATGTAGGTAAGGCTGTATTATTAATAGCATACACGTTTATCAATTTATCTGTTGCTGGTTAATTGAATTTTTTGTTATTATCAAGAAGTCGTCTTTATTCTTAATAGCACTCTTTAAGGTCTATTTTGTTGTTATTAGTAAAGCTACACCAGATTTCTTTAGGTATTTGCTATTTACCTTTTTCCATCTTTTTATTTTCAATCTTTCTGCATTTTAATGATTTTGTTATATCTCCTATAAACAGTATGTAGTTGGATTTTTAAAAATCCAATCTATCCATTTGTGCATTAACTAGCAAGTTAAGTCCAAATTACACATATTATGCTCACTTATTTGGAATTATTTCTACCATTTTGTTCAGTGTGTCTCACTTTTTTCTTCTTGATTCTTTTTTTCTCTCTTTCCTGCTTTTCCAGCCTTTTTTGGATTTATTTCCATTTTCTGTCTACCATTTATAAGTTAGAAACTTTATTTCTCTTTTAGAGGCTGCCCTTAAATTTTAATCTGCATGATAAACTTAATGCTAATCTTCTCTTGAACACAAAGACTTTAGACTCCTTTAACTGTAGTCATCACACCACCATTTACATGGTTTATTTTTCAATATTTTATTTCAATCTTATTTTATTCCAAAAATTAGACATTCTTATTACTGCTGTTTTTATAAAGACAATAATTGTTTACATGTATCTATATTTACCATTTCTTTGCTCATCATGCCTTCTTGCAGCTTCAATTTTTCCCCTCCTTCTCGAAGTACATCCTTTAAATTTGTTTATTGAATGAGAATTTATCTTTGATAAATTTAATTTTTAATGGTCTGAGAGTACCTTTATTTGAAAATTAAGGCAAAATAAAAGTCTAGCTAGGTATAGACTTCTAGGTTAAGTTAATTTCTCTCGACTCTTTTGAAAATAGTATACTAATGTCTTCAGGTTTCCATTGTTCCTGATAAAAAGTGTATTACTTTTCTATTACAATCACAACTTGAGTGGCTTAAAAGAGCATGGCTTTATTGTCTCACAGTTCTATAGGTCAGAAGTCAGTCATGGGCCTCATTGGGCTAAAATCAAAGTGTTGGCAAACTTCACTCCTTTCTGGAAGCTTTTGAGTCCACTTCCTTGCTCACTCAGATGTTGGCAGAATTCAATTCCATGCAGTTCGAGGACCAACATATTGTTTTTCTTGCTGGCTGTTCACTGGGGGCTATCCTTAGCTGCTAGAAGCTTCTCTCTGGTTTTTACACGTAGTCCCCTGCATCTCAGGACTAGCACAGGGCCTCAAATCCTTCTCATGTCACTGTCCCTTTGATACAGCTAGGAAAGTTTCTCTACTTTTAAACACTCATGTGATTAGATTGGGCCCATCTGAATAATCCTGGCTAATCTTCTGATTTGAAGGATAACCTTAATCACGTTTGCAAAATTCCTTTTGCCATATAAGGTAACATGATCATAGATTCAGAAGATTGAAGTGTGGACATCTTTGCAGTGGGTAGGGGGAGGACATTATTCTGCCTACCACAAGATGTATGCTGTCAGTCTAATTGCATTCCTTTGTGGATGATTTGGCGGTTCTCTCTGGCTGCTTTTAAGATCAACTCTTTGGTGGTCTACAGTTTCGCTGTATTTCTTGTTAGTTCTTATCCTCATGAACATAGCCTCTCCTCCATTCTTTTTTGAAATCCCTTGTAAACATATACTCGATCTTTCAAATCTGTCCTGTCACCCTCAGCTCTGTATTATAAGGCCTCATCTATAGGCATGTGAACACGTCAGCCTCATGTTCAAGCCCCATCCCCGCAAACAGTCACCCCTCAGCCATACTTGATGCCGACTGTGGCACAGTCACCCTTGGGAGGAAAGACCCAAAAAAAGAGGTCCAATCGGGCCCTAAAATAGACTTAGAGTTATTTAGGCTGAAATGTTGGAGTTCTAGGTACCTAAAAGATGGTTTCAGAGTGAGGTATACAGGCTCCAAATGGATACATTCTCTTGACCCTGTGGACTCTTCATTTTGTGGAGATGGGCACAGCTGGAGGAAGGTTAGAGTAAGGCCCTCTTGCCCATATCCAAGGGCAGCACCATGTGAGACAATAAGCATGCTTCTTTCAAGAGGAGGAATGTTAGTTACAATAAGATGACGAGGAGAAAGTGTTCTATGCAAGAGACTGATGATGTGAGGGTAAGAAAGGTTTGGAAATATAGAGAAATATAGATTTCAGAATAGGCAAGAGAGGCATGGTGAGATGAGCTGGCCTCTACATTGCAGAACTCTGAAGCCAAATTTGGGCACAGCCATAGTAGATTCAGCCTTTATAAGAGCTATTTTTTCTGCAAAAAATACTCCTCTGACTCTGCTCCTGATTTGCTGTATCCTTTATTCAACTAACCCTTAAAAATTCTTTAGGTCTCAGCTTGTTTCACTTTCTTTAAAAGGCCTTCTTCCCAATCCCTGATTAATTTATCCTTCTTTTCCTTACATTTTCCAAAGAAACTGCAATTCTTTTTTTTTAATACTCTATCACACTTGTTAAGTAAGCTATCCATAGCTGCCTTTCTGATTATTCAGGCTGAAAGCTTTATGAAGACATTTGTCTTGACCAGCATCATATCCCCAGCACCCAGAAAGTAACTGAAACACATCTGATGATCAAGAAATATTTGATAAATTAATAATTTGGCTTCATGGTGCTTAAGCAGCATTGCTTGATATGGCTGAATCCAAACAGGATTAACAGTAGAATATCGGACTCTTGATGTCCTTCCATTACAAATAATTTCATTTTATACATAATTTTTCAAAGCCAGTTACACAGGTGAAGGTGATTTATTTTGATATCTAAAGCACTGTATAAGATTCTCTGGAATATCTAAAATCATACTGCTGCCCTAGTATGTTACACTATCATCATTTTAGAAAACAGAAGTCTTAGATTCTTAGATTATATACTAGAAAAATTTCTTCATGACATATAAAACATTTTTGCTATTATTTATAGTAAAGGAGATAAAAGGACAACTTGAAGGAGAGGGATAATCCTGAAAGTGTTTTAGTTGATATTTACTCACACCAACCCCAAGAGATAAAGACAAAGATAAAGATGCTAAAATGCTAGTGGTATGTGGCTGGTGCTTCAATAACCCTATTAGTCCATATGGACAACGAGTTTGACATAGTCGAACTACCCTTTAAGTCACTGATGGTTATTATTTGATTAGTTCCTCCAAAGCAAGGCCATGTCAGTTGTTTAAATGATGTGAAGGTTAATCAACACAGGAACCACTTGAAAATTCCCCCCCCAGAGGCTGTAGAGGCAGCATCCTTGGTTTTGATGAGTAATCCTGTGGCCATACACGGGTGCAAGTCCACAAATATTGGGGCATGGCCTGCACACTACTAAAAATAACAAAGGTTTCAGGGCTGGGGACATTGTCAACCACACTGTCATGGCTATTTATGTCCCCAGGAATCAATGGTGGAGGAACAATATTTAATTCATGACCCTGACAGAAGGAGCCTGTGAGTACTTCAGCCTCAAAGACGTAGATCAGGTTATTTGTGGCAGATGTCTTCTTGACCTGACATGCTAGGTTTTTGAGGTTCTTGGTGAAATATATGCCAGCTCCATATCTAGGGTCTGATAAAAGAAAAAAATTTAAAGGTTATTATGATCTGGCAAATCATATTGCCTATTTGGGTACTAATATATACTCTCTCTCTAGTCCTCCAAATAATCACCACCTTCTGGTCCTAAGTCTCTGTCTGTAGCAAAGACACTCAAAGTTGCTCCCTTGAGACAAATTATCACTGATATCATCAATATAATAGTTTACACTTAAATATATCTAGCTTCCTTCCTTCCTTCTTTCCTTCCTTCCTTCCTTTCCTTCCTTCCTTCTTTCCTTCCTTCATTCCTTCCTCCTTCCCTTCCTCATCTCTCTCTTTCTTTCTTTACATTTACTTGGGACTTAATCAAATATGGTTTCAGGCTCCAGAGCAGCACTGAACAAGAGAAATGCAATGTGAGCCACATATGGAATTTTAAATTCTCTAGTAGCCACATCAAAAAAGGTACCAAAAAAAAAAAAGGTGAAATTAATTTAATAATAATGTTATTTAACCTATTATATCCAAATGTTATCATTTCAACATGTAATCAATATACAAAATTATTAAGGAGATATTTTACATTTTTTTTGACAGTGGTCTTTAAAACACAGTGTATATGTTACATTTACAGAACATCTTAATTCAGATGAAACACATTTCAAGTGCTCAATAGCCACATGCATCTGGTGGCTACTATATTGGACCATACAGCTCTAGAGCTTCAAAAATGACTAAGACATTGTCCCTATTCTCAAAAGTTCACAAAAGGAACTCCCCACATGTAAACATAAAATATAGTACAATTTTGTGTGACAAGGAAATATTTTGAGATAAAAATCAAAGCTTTCTTTCCTACAAGTTTCTTCTTGCTCTTTGTTCCTCTACCTAATGAGCTCTTGCTACTTATTATCTCAGGGGCAAAAAAGAATAAAGCTTAGAACAAATTCAATTGAATATACACATATATGGCATATATTTATCATATATAGAACATATAATTATTTTTAACAGAAGCAGAGAATATGTGACTTGAAAGTATGGCCTTTCAGAGTTAGATTTTCTGAGAGAGGAAAAAAGTTTTTTGAACCAAAATGATAAAAGCCTGAAGGATTCAGAGCATGGATTTTATACTATATATAACAGAGGAGAGAAAAACACAAGATATTCTAAGAGCAGTTTTTTCACTTCAGGATAAATGAAAGTTCTTCCTTCTACCTGATGGGAAGAGAAGAATCAGAGAGAACACTACTAGAACTCTGGGGGACTCTGAGAAAGGGCTCACTTCACTGTTCCACTCCCTCAAGAGAGCTGTGAGAGTCAAGATGGTGAAGAACAATAGAAATCTCAGAAAAACTAAGGGCACTTCCAGAGTAGAAGGGACCGTTGCCTAACTCTGCTGGGTGCGGCCCCATTATCCAGCCTGGCATCTGAGTGGAAAGTAGTAATGGCTGGGGACAATGTCTAGAACAGGTGAGGACTACCACACACAAGACCTCACATTTCAGCTCGGAGGTTGTGCACATTCAAAAATTTTCTGTGCTGTGGAAGGGGCACATCCATGAACTGGAAAGGAATTCCTGTGGCAGAAGAAACAGAGTGCCCTGTGTAGATACTACCTAAGAGCAAAGGGGGCTAGGAATTTAGGTACAGGAGGGTGCTAATGGCTAAAGCCCAGGGTGGTTTATCTAGCAGGGGACACTGAGAGGCAGAAGACAGACAGGGGCCATGAAGTAGACCAACTTCCCTCCACTGTCTGTTCCATCATCAAGGGTACTCTCAGAGAGAAGAGGAGCCCCAATTATGAGGGGCTGACACCTACCGCAGGGCACTGAGTACATTCTTTGAAAGCCAACTCTGCATACTACGTCACAGAACTGCTGCGGGACTTGCTGAAACAATCTGTGGCTCATAGGTTCCCTTTGAGTTCTCCCTTCCATCATTTTCTTCTTTTTTTGGAAAGCAGCCATGAGAACCTCATTGTCTATCTTCTCCACCTATAACCCAAGAAAATGAAAAACTGAAAAAGAGATTGGAGCACTGCTACTTGAATTAATTGTCTGATACACTGCTTCAAAAATGAAAGCATTTATGTGCATATTATTTTGCATGCAATTTGTTTTTCATGTAAAGTTGCATAAGAGTCTCTCCTGGCCCCAACCCTCTCTTACTTTGACTTTTATCTTTTCAAAATTCCCTGTCCCTTCCTTGAAAATTCACTTAATAATAATTCACTAGCAATCACTATGTGTAGGCACTGGCAAATGAAATGGACCACAATGTAGATACCATCTTTGCCCTCTTAAAGCTTATAGTTTAGTGAGAGATAAAAATAGGTAAACGATTATAATGCAATGTGATAAATGCTATTCCACTTCTTTTCTTCTTCTCTTTTTTCTTTTTTTGCTTCAAGATAGTCAGATAGCTTTTTCCTGGGTCTTGATCTATGCTTCTGCACATCCTGACATCATTTCTAACTCCTGATTCCAACTATACTCCTCATCCCTGCCCATGCCTGCCCTCCTTTCAGTTTTATTCCTGGGATTCCCACTTAGTGAGCTGCTAGCTAAGAATCATCAGCAAGTTAGTTTTTCTTTTGGCTACAGAAACAAATGGATTAATAGCAAGATAATAAAATCTTTCCCTTAATTACATATACCTTTATAACGTGCAAACCACAGTGTTCAAACTGTTTCATTCGATCATGAATTTCTTGAGTAAAAGGTGTTAGACATTTCTGAAACTTATTTTTTTTCATTTCATCTTGTGTTTTTGGTTGCTGACCAGTCCATTGTCCTAAAAATGAGTAACAGAAAATTTTTTCTCAATGTTCTGTGAGAGGGAAAAGCTTTGTAAAGAAATTTAATAAAATAAATTACAGAAATTTGGAGGAACGGATTAGCCAGTTTAAACTGGACACCTCATATGTTTAGGACATGTAAGGAGAGCTATGATACTGTGAGAAGTAACAGGATAAAATAGAGGGTTACTAAATTTGTCCTCAGATGGTTTGGATTATGAGGCTGAGGGGATGAAAGAAAAAAGGGCATTAATACATACTCCCCCCATCAATACTGTAATGATAATATATAACTGTGTTGCTCATAGGAAATGTTTGTATTTCCAGTCAGGATGCCCATCAAAAAAAAAAAAAAAAAAAGACAGGCATAAGAAAATGTTAAGGAATAATGGAAGACAATATGATGTTTATAGCCCACTTCAGAGTTTTTAAAGAGATTTCTTATATCTACCTCATTTGATCATTATACCACCACCAATAAAACAATTAACGCAATTTTACAAATAAAGAAATTAAAACTCAGAGACTTAAGTGACTCATCCAATGTCACACAGCTTATAAGTAGAGATCCAAGATTATAAACCTGGCTTTCACCAGTGCTTTCTATAAGGGGCAAGGCAGAATATTTGGTATATATATATATATCACTCAAATGCAACTACCCAACTAAAAATAGCAAAATTAGGAGATTAATAGTTTATCGTGTCATGTCTTTCTTCCCTTCCTTCCTTTTTTGTTCCTTTCACCCTTCATCAACTTCCTTCCTTCCTTCCTTTTTTAAATTCAAGAGACAACCTATTATTGTCCAGAGCTCTTTATTAGACTAAATATACAGGCAGACAAACAGAAACTCTCCAAAAGGCTTACTTTCTTTCAGTTTATTTTCAGTTTGACTTTAGACCAAGTATACTAAAATGACCTTATCCCCAGCACATTATCTCATTGAGTGAGCTCAGTTTAACTACAAAAAGCAGATGATAAATCTGGAGAAACTCGTTAGAGGGCCAAATTGTAAATCTGGAAAGCAGGAGGGACAAAATTCCATAGCAAAGGAACTCCAAAGCCAGGAAATTTCAAGGGAAGAGACTATAAATTAAATCTGGAAAGTATCAGCTCACATTTATGTAGTATAGTATTAAATTCAGTTGACTTAAGTTCAGCAAACATTTATTGAGCTCCTATAACATGCCAAGCGCTGGCTGAGCGCTGACGCAGAGATCCTCAAACTTCTGCTATCAGAAGAGCTCACAGGAAGGATTTAAAGAGCAACATAAAAGAGAGGAGATATCTAACTTCTATTATTTAAATTTTATTGTTCTGATGGATAGTTGATGTTCCTTGTAGTAACAGCTCACTTCAAAATTATTCATTTTGCTAACCAAGATTTTAATCTGATTAAGAGAGAGCGAGTCTGAATCTCTAAAACACTGCTGCGGAATAATATGTTTAGTCACCAGCTACTAAAAATGCCACCTTGCAGCAGAACAAGGGACTTACATGACTAAATTGCCAGTAGCTGGGAGGATGAGTCAACCTTACAAATGTGGTTCATTTAAAGTAAGGCCACAAGCTTTATAGGAGATCAATGTTGCTTTGTCCATTGTTCTCTTGAGAAGTATCAGCGTCAGTTTACATAACCACAGTCATTACATTTCACTAAAAATCATAATCTTGGGTCTCATTGTTGTATTATTTTTGTCCATTTTTTTGACACTGAGTTTTCTGTGAAATGTGGATACAAAATTTACTGCAAACTCCCACTCACTTTGACCATTTCTGCCTAAATTATTTGTACAAACACATGGTGAAAATAAGATGTCCTTTGAAATTTTGCATTTGAAAATCTTTACTAAATCCATTCTCCATATTATAACCAGTGATCTTTCTAAAATACAAGTCTGACCTTGTCTTTGCTTAAAATCCTTTAAGGCTCTGCATTCGTTTCAAGAAAAACTCTAACTTCTTTCACGTGACTTATAAAGTCTTGCATAATCTAGGCCTTGCTATGATCTGATTTCTTGAAAGTCTCTTTCTTTGCCTTACTAACTTCTACTTATTCTTCAGTTCTCCATGTATGACACTTCCTCTGAGAAGCTCTTCTTTGTCCTTCCAAGTCTAGGTTAGGTGCCTCTCTCAGGTCCTCCCAGAGCACTTTCACCCTCCTCCTCTTTCACAACCCACCCTGCTTACTTCTCAGCATCCTCAATTAGATTTTGAATGAAAATAATGTCCATCTTATTACTGTATCTCCAGCATCTAGGACATTGCCTGGTACATATCAGAGATGCAATATATATTAGTTGAATACATGAATGAAATAGACTCTCTCTCCTAAGGTGGTGTTTTCAATGGTATAATTTCCTAGTTAGCTCTAGGGCTATGTTAAAAAGATCTCAAACTCCCAGTTACCCTGATGAATTTTGCCTCATTGAATGGGTGATAAGTGTACTTAACAGTATCAATGAATAATTTATTTTGGTGAGAAGGCTCAAAGAAGTAAATCTAGGGTTCCCCAGGCTTCCAGCAACAAATAAATGCAATAAAACTCAATTAAAGAAATTAATCAAGTAGAATGTGTCTACATTTGAATGCTCTATCTACAGAATTAAAGATGTACTTTTTTTCCCCACAGCCTGGGAATAGGTTACCCTAGAACTTTCTATGTAATTGCCACTTAGGCAATCCATGTCACCATAAGTAAATCCAATTGTGTGTGCGTGTGTGTGTGTTCATTTACTAATAATTAACCCTGCTGGTAGAAGGAGAGCCCAAAAATGGTTATAAAAGTTTATGGCCTAACACAAAACCAACACGGTTTCTCTTTCTCTCTCTTACGCTCTATCTCTTATGCACACACACACACACACACACACACACACACACACACACACTCACAATCACACTCACAAGGACAGCTGGGAGAGTGGACTTTCCAACCTAATAGAAAGATACTCACCTAACAAGTTCCAAAGGGCTTGCTCCTTTTTTCTTGCCATTTTCTCTTGAACTTCACATAGCATATGCTCAATGTGTATAACCACCTCAACAATGTCAGCCTGGGCTCCTTTAATCTCTAAAATTGCCTTTTCCTGGTCAATAATCTCTTTGATAGAGACCCTTGAAGTGTTCTGAAGCTGAGACAAAATGTCATGTTCCTTTTTCTCAAGGTAGAGGATATGATTATTCTCAATGACATGCTTGTCCTGGGGGGTCAGTAACCTTTTGATCCACTCTTCGGCCCCATTCATCTTTTCCAAGTTGGATGTCATCAGATTGATGGCAGGAGATTTAGCCTTGAGCCCATTTTCTCGTTTTTCCTCTCTGGTCTCCCAGGGGGCTGAAAAGACCATCATAAGCAACCACAGAAGGCAAGTGGGTTTTAAATCAGAGCAGAACAAAACACCAGGATATCATCACTGTTGTCAGCAGTAGCAGCTTTGATTAAGCTCTCTGAGAGTTGTGCTGGGTATGAAGAAAAATCTAAAGAAAATCTAAATGTATAGTTTACAGTTTCCTAGAGAACATAGTTTATCTTCTAAGGAATTGGTTTTATCATGTCTTGTCCCTGTTATGTTGCATTTATCAATTCACAGATGAGTTCACCCTACACATTAATCAACTTGACCAGCAATAAAAAGTAGTGAACTTTAGCTACTTGGATAAATCTAATTAATATATTTTGAGGGGAAAATATAAGTCGAGCACTTATTATGTTCCAGGCATTGTTCTAAGTGCTTTACACATATTTTATTCAATCTTCACAGCTCAATGAGATAGATACTATTTGCAGCCTCATCTTACAAATGAGGAAACTAATTCTGAGAGTTATTAAGTGGCAGCCAGGAAGTTGGTAGGTGTGGGCAGTCTGACTGCAGCGCTCACACAAGTCTGCCTCCCAGTGAGTGATCTCAGGACCACAGTGGTAATTCACATCTTTTACTCTAATATAGTAGTTCAGTTGTACCAGGAGCTATGAAAAAGTACCAACACAGACCCAGAGGCAAGACGGGGAGGATGACCTCCCTCAGAGTAAAAACAAAAACCAAAGTTTTATACAATACTAAAAACTGATGGGGACAGATGAATGGGGGATTGGTTTCTTAAATTGGAGACATAACTTTTTTTTTTTAAGTCTCGTTCTGCCTGGAACCTTACGTTACTTTTTAGAAGAAAATAACAATAATTCCTGATTATACTTCATTTATCCATCATTATCAGGAAAGAAGAATTGTTCTTTTAGGTAACTAAATTGTTCAGATCACTAAAGGATACTTTTCTAACACCAAAAACATTTAATTTTAAATATTTATTAATTAAATATTTCTAATGGAAACACACTCCCCTGCTTTCCTAAAAGGTTTTACTTTTCCTTGATAACTTGATATCACCACCATCAGTCATTATTAATGTCAACTATTGTCCTATGCTATATTTCCTTTACAGATGTCCTCAAGATGTACTGAAGTAAATGATAACACCTGGCCCCACTATTCAGATTAATGACATAGACACATTTGTCTGTTCCTTTTCCATATTATCCTCACCCTAAACTCCTCCTACCTAGCTTCTCTAGATTCATTCCCAAACATCCACTGCACTTGTTTCTTTCGGTGGGTTTTCTTCACCTTGGGTGCCCCACCCCATCAACTCTTGCCACTGAAAATCTTGCCATCCTCAAAGCCCAGCTTGGAACTGTATCATCCATGAAGCCATTTCTGATCCCTTACAGTCAGAAAGAATCTCTCCTTCCTCTGTGCCACTTGGGGACTTTGTCCATCCTCTCATTCATTATTTATCCCCTGACCATTGGTTAATGCTTTGCAACTGACGGAAAATTTTTACATCTATAATCTCTAATTATTCTCACAATGGTCTGTCATCATCATCATTTTATAGATAAATATAAAAAGGCTCATAAGAGATGCAGTCACAGACCAGAGCTCTTAAAGTTCCCCGTTCTTCATTTCCAGCATTCCTGGGTTACTGAGCATCCATAAGTGAACCTGTCTATTTAAGGGTATAAATAAATCATTTTGATCCTAATGGGACATATCCTAGCAGTTTCTATTTCTGATTGAATGTCTAGTGTTCTTAACATCTATAGAATACTATACATTAAAAGACGATTTCAGAAGTACACATTCTAGTTGTCATGAGGCAATTCCATCTCAGTCCACTTAAATTCCACTAAAGGAATAGAGTTATTAGACAAAGTTAATCCTTTTCCAGCCCCCAACAACCAGAATTGGTTTAGTTCAGTAACAAAATTGGTTAGTGGGCATTGAAAAACATACGTGCTTGGCCCAGACCGAGTTTCTGAATGAGAATCTGCAGAGTTGGGGCCTATACATACTTTTGTTTGTTTTTCTAAAGTTTCCATCATGATCCCAATGATTACTCAGGCTTGGTAGCATTGAGTTAATCCACTTATTATCTGGTATTACTGAGATGTATTTTCTATAAGTATTAAAAGAGTTACCCCATTTCTGCTACTTCAGAGCAGAAAAAGTGCTGGCTTAGTAAGCTTGAGAAGGACAGAACTTTTTCTTAGAAAAAAGCTGTAGATAGCGTTTGTGAACTATCCACACTGAGGGTTACCTACTGCAATGTAGTCTCTCTCTGTTCGTATCCTAAAACATGGTCAGGTATAGAATAGGTTAGTATCCAAGCAAGAGCACAACGAAATATATTTGGCTTATTTATTCTTCTCCCCTCCGTTAGTTAAGATGATCAAGAGTATAATAAGCCTATGGTGGGAGACATTGGTTCTAGGTCTGTAAATTTCTTACTTACCCCTGTTACTGCTGAGACTCTGCAGTTTGGACTTAGCCCTCTCCATTTCAGTGCTGAAAGCCTACCAGAAGCAAAACAGAGCAGAGAGTTGTAAGCGAGGCATTTGGTCACTGTCATCAAAATCCCTCTCTCCACCTGTACACACCACACTTTACCTCACCCATTCTGTCAGACTCCATTTCTACTGCCACAAATCTAAAAGCAGACTTTAGGAAAGACTTGAGCAACAGCAACTGCAGCACCACAATCACTTAGAACATGTAGGGGGGAAAAGTATAGGAAAAATGGAAAGAAACTCAAAATCTGGCATAAAAAAGAATTGTATATTCAAAGCAAAGTATTATCACTCATTTGTTCAACAGATATTAATGCCCTGCTTACTGCATGTTAGACACTGAACTAAAGGTGTGGTTATGTCACTGAAGTAGAAAAATATACAGGACAATGCTCTTGTAATTAATAAAACATAAACTCATTTTTTAAAAGTTATACACACAATGCTTTCTCTGTAGATTGAATAAATATCAATTCCTATAAAGTGTTTATATTGTACCTGGCACGTAGTAAACATTTAATATGTTAGCTATTGTTGTAATTATTATTATATGACAGTCTGTGGACAAACATTTGTATATTTTGCCATGCAGACCCTTTAACATGGTGTCTATTTGAAAAAACTCATCTCTCCTAGGGTTTGGAACCACCATACCCAATATCTTCTTTTTTTAAAGTTGACTCAGTTGGCAGTTATTACTTCATTGAAAAGATGGTAGATGATGAGGTAAAAACTAAATTTTGCTTTGCATCTGAACTTTAACAATAAAATTTCTTAATCTGTAGGACATTTTCTTCATGAATTATATTTGCAGCTGCTATTTCCAGAGCAAAAGGCTCTTGATCTTACCATAGTGTGTACATGGAGAGGTCACAGCAGGGAACTTCCCTGCGCTCCCCATCTAAGAACTTGGAAATAAAACAAATGAGATAATATTATCTGCTGATAAATAGACTCAGAATAGCTGCCATATGCAAAATGGATAAAAATCAACCCTCTCCCAAAGTCACTTTAAATGTCAGGATGTATTACAGGGTTAGAAATGAATCAGGCAAGCCTTTTGAATTGAATGTGAAAGAAAACTGTAATTTAATCAGTATCAATAACTTAGAAGAATATGTGGATAACAAGCAGATGGTCTGCAAAGAGTTTGGAAAAGTAGATTTGGCAGTTCTTCTAGCTCCATCCACAAATGACCAACACCTAATGGGAGGGATGCTAGTAGTGTGTTCCTAGAGAGGTGTTCCTTATTCTGAGACATAATATCTGTCATAAGGTATATATGCAATAAATATTTGTTAAATAACCAAAAGAATGACTATCCACCACCATTTACAGATACTCAGCTCCAACCAGAACCCTTATCACCATGAAATACTGGTGGACACCAGTATTTGACTAGCTGTGTGTATATTATTCTCTGGGCTAATATGTTTTCCCATTTGTAAAATGAAGATGACGACAATGGCTTCATCACAGGATTGGGGGGAGAATGATATGAGACAGCTTGTTAGCACAGCACCTGACTGACGTAACACATGACAGCTATTTTTATTCTTAGTCCCTAAGGGAGACCTCAGACTGTGGCTGATATTTCCTACTTTTGTTGAACTGCCATGTATGAACTTTGAATGAACTATCTTTTCTGGATGTGGTTAATTCCTTTCGTAGGGATATGGTGTTTCAGGAACAATTCAAAGATGTAGTCATGACACCTATCTAGGCTCAATGATACTCCTCTGCTTGGGGGAACTGGTGAACTTCATTAGAAGGACAGGATGATTCATTTTGTCAGGAAGGTGGGCTACTTCATTGGGTAATTTGGCACCAGCTTGCAGGTCAGCTGTGGATGAGACACAGCAGCATACTGGAGCTGGCTGACGGCGGTTCACGAGAGCCCATGTGAACATCTCTTCCCAACTCCACCTTCAGTGGTGTCACATTGATAGTGTGAAGTCAGCAATGAAAATCAGCAAATACTATAAACCTCCTTGTGTCTAGTCAGACAGCAAAAGGAATAAGAACCCTTACATTTGTTCCAGGAAAGAGCAAGCTAGAACCAATATGTTTATTTTCCTGTAGGGACAGATAAAATGGCAAACACTCACATGGAGACAAGTTGGGTGGTGGGAAAGTGAGCAGTCAGAGAACTAATGTTCAAAGCACTCTCACTGCCAGGCACTCGACGAGGTTGTTTATACCCCAAATCCAGACACATGCCTGAGAAGTCACACTAGTACTTCAATGTTGCTGTTAGCAGAATCAAAACTTGTATCTTTAAAACCTATTTAAAGGTGCTTTTTCTTATCTCATTTCTTTTTTATTCTTCCATAACTTCATTAAAGTCCTTTTTAAAAATACCAGCCAAGTGAGAATAAAACAAAGAGATGGTGCTTTAAAGGCAGAACAGCACAGCAATATGTACTAATTATGCTGAATATATCAGGGACCTATTCACATATGAACAGCTCAACTTGATCTGACCACTCTAAAACAAAAAGCTGAGACGAAGTGAAAACTAAAGAAGCTGGACACAAGATCTCTGCACTCAGACACATAAACACACTCCCCTGCATACATGTCCCTTTATTTGTGTTAGCCCACAGCTGATTTTCCTCTGAGGTCGTCTATAGATGAGTTAAGAAGGAAGAGATTGAATTTGAGGGCAGTGCTAGGGACATGGCAAAAGTAGCCAGATATACCTTTGCTGTTGAAAAATTTATAATCTAATTGGGAAAAAAGATAATAAACAATTCATTTAATTTTGTATTCATTTCAGCATTCAGTGAATTAAAGCTCATTACAACCAACATGACAAGCTAATCTTCATGGAAGTCTTACTGTATGCCAGGTCCCATTCTAAGTGTTTTACATGTATTAACTCATTGAATTCCCATCACAGCCCCATAAGATGGTAGTTATTATCCTCATTTTAAAGTTGAGAAAACTGAGGCACAGTGAAGCAAGTTAATTTTTCCAAAGAAGTAGATCGATTGAAGAGGAGAGGACAAAGAATTTGTTTTAAATACATTGGATTTAAGATGACAGTAAGATAGCTAAGTAGAAATGAGAGAGGGTTGGTGATATTGGTCTGAAGTTGGCTCTGACGATAGGACTCTACAGAATTCATGGCAGAGGTTTAAGAATAGTTGTGTCCTTAGAGGAAGAAAGAAGAGGGAGAAGCAGAGGACCCACATTGAAACTAGGAGGTTGCTTACCTTTAAGGACCAGAGAGAAGAAATGCCAACAAAGGAAAAGAGAAAAGCTAAGTAGTGGGGTAAACATGGCTTCTATAATGGCATTCTTCGCTAAGTCAGAGGTGGACAATTTGTAAAAGTTAAATTTCACCAAATTAGAACATCACCCTCCATATCTTATATTAGAGATACTAAACAGATGTTGTTGAATAAATGAATGAATGAATGAATGAATGTAGGACATTTCTAAGATATTCACTTACCTTATATGTCTCAATTTCTACAGGAAAGATCACAAACTTTACAGTCAATTGTTTTCTATGTTTGCAGGCAAACATTAGAACTTCATCAAACATAATCTTTGCTGCTCGTTCCTTACACACACCAATGTTTCCAGTCCCAAGGGCAGGAAAGGAAATGGAAGTTAAATGTAGCTCAAGGCATTTTTCCAAGCACTTCCTCACTGCATCTTTCAATCTCTGTAGGAAAAACACAAATTTAAGATGAGCCTTCAAGTCAAAAATAAAATTTTACTTACCCCTTGATCCTGCCCATATTTTATAATGCCAACCTCCACTCTCCCTCCGGGCCACATCCATGCTTCCTCAGAAGGCAGGAAAGGTCCCACTCATTACAGCTATAAGGTTAGATGATGAAAAACAAAAGGGCTTGGAAACTGAAGTAATTGAATAGATCTTTTTGTGCTATTCAAGACATTTGGGTACCACGATTTCTCTTAGTTTATATAGTCTTGCTCATCTTCCCAGGTCAGAGAGCCAACCATCAGTTTATCCCCAATCATCTGCCACTTCCAGGCCAACAAAAAGAGTTTTTGGTAGTTTAATAAAGGAGGTTGAGGTTAAAGTAAGTAAGCAGCATTTATTCAATGTCATTAAGCTCTGTCATGTAATTTCTTGGGAAGTGCTAGTGTATTTGGCAGATTTATACTTTCCATCAATATTTCAACATCCAAACTGAATACTAATACAGGACAGTTGTCTGTGGAAGGACCTTGGAAAAATAGAGGTAGAGATGATTGCAGGATTAATTTGGGATTAGAGGGTCCTGTAGCCAAGAGAGGACCAGAAATAGTGACAAAATGAAGACAGACAAAGGCAGGGGGAAGACACCACAGGTAATAGATTTGACTGGAATAGTTCTGGGAAAATGGTGAAGGGAAATCTCAGATTCTCCTGGAATTTAACAGCTGGAGGGAAATATGAAGAAACTGAATCTCAGGCCCACTTAGGAAAAGAATAACGTGTGGTGCAGACTAAGGGAGCCCTGATGTTCCTGTGTCTATTCTTGGTATGTCCACTTAAATGTGTTAGGTCATATTTTAAATCAAACTTCTTAAGATAACTGTGACAACAATAGTTACTTGGTATTTCAAGTATGTGCAAGAGTGGTAAAAAAATGGGGACTATATCACTTTACGATGTTTCATGAATGTAATGACATGATAAAAATTCAACAAACACTACAGAGACTATGGGACTACATAAAGATAAATTTATTTTGACCTTACCATATCTGTTCTAGAAGATTTTGAATCCCACAATACATGGAATACATATTGACAGGACAATTTAAATCCTTTTGTGACCAGTACCAACTGGGAATCCTGAGACGTCCGAGGCATGTTTTTTTTAAATTCCTGTTCTATTTCATCCCCTGCTTGTTGTAGAATTGATTGTGACACAGGACCAGCTCCAAAAGAATGACTTGGAGTTACAGAATTAACAATTACATCTGTCTGAAAAGGGAAAAAATGAACAGGACCCATTGTTAAATTATTTGTTGTTAAATTATTAATTAAATCTTTATTTCCCTGAAAGGCTTTGAAAAATATTTGTGAAGATTCTAAATCCACAAAAATAGCAGTTAGTAATGGATAGAAATTCATATTTCCAAAGAGCGATCATTTGATCAGTCTGCTTATCCTATTCAGTAATTAGGTAAAATGTGTGGATGATACAATTTTTATTGCAAACATCTGTCAGCCCCTTGCTGGTTTATACCACCACCACCACCACCCCATTCCCAGATTCTGAACATTCCCTGTGATTTATTTTAACCCATAACCCATTTAGGAAAAAAAAGTGCAACTTGCTGCCAGCATTAATATTACATAAACACACTCTTGAGGCTGAAGCAAATCTAACTGGTTTTCAATGTGGAAATAAAATATAAAAACTGTTCTTGGAGTTATTTCTAAACAGAACTTGTCTCTAATCCTAATGTAACAGAAATGTATACATAAATCGGATTCATCAAATAAATCTTCGGCTGACAGCTACTCCAGATCGATGTTAACTTCATGCGTAGGAATGCTACATTTTCTAGGATTTGACATTTTCGGCAATCGAGAATTACTATATTTTGTGAATGGAAATATCACTGCTAAAAACAGATTGCTATAAATAGAATGATGTCATTTGTTTCCAAAGACTATCCATATACTAGAGCAATGCGAAAATAATAATAAAAGTGAGATATTTCATAGCAAACTTTGGGGGTAAGGTTAGGACTATAGTCTGCAAGTTATCTTGGGGTAAACGCAGCAGCAGCAAGGGCTGCTGGCAAGTATTCTTGGGGCAAATGGGAAGTGGGTTAAGATTTATCAATAAATAGTTTCATTACCTGCCCCACTGTCATCACTTTTTGCTATTTTTGTGTGAATTTTGTTTGTGTTTTTTTTTTAAAACAGAGTAGAAATAAAATTTCTCAGGAAACTTCAACCTCCTAATTTTTTTAAGGTAAGTGGTACATAGGTAAAGAAAGTACAAATGAGACAAAAATGTCTTCAGTGAAAAGTCAGCCTCCCTCTAGGTGGGGTCCTGAGATCCCTCACTCATTCACCTATGCTATAGGCAACCATTTTTACCAGTTTTTCATCTGTCCTTTCAGAAATAGATTATAGGTACACATGGGATATATTTTAATTACTATCACCTCCTAGTTAGCTCTCTGAGCTGTGCTAAAGGGGTTGCATCCTTCTTTCCCCACCATGGCCAAATCCCCCTAAATCATCTGATGGCTTTGGTTCCCTTTGGGGGTAACTTAGGTACTTCTCAGAGATATTAATGAATGCTTCACTTTGAAAGTGCATTCGGAATTTGCAATTGGGAGCACTGGCATCCTTTAAAAAATTTCAGGTTCCTAATGTTCTTAGTAGTAAATAAATACAATAAAAAATTTTAGTTAAAAAGATAAGATATTCAACTAGGATGTTTCCACTTTAATTTTAAATTGGCATATTAGTGACTTATCATATAAATATTTTTTGTGAGGGGTCTCTTCAGTCTTCTTTCTAATTGTCTTGCAGGCAATAATTGGTATTTTTTCATTTACAATTAAGTCTATTTGATTGTGGCCACAGGAGAGTCTTAAGTATGACATCACTGATCTGGAAAAGGAAAAGAATATAGCCTTATATTCTTTCTCTTCCTCTGCAGTCCCTGTTCCCCATTGCTCCCTTCAGTTATTCATCAATAATTTGCTGAACATCTAGAAGAAGCATGCCCAGCCAGGCTGTGGGGCTACAGAGATGAACAAGCCATGATCCCCATCCTCAAGGTGCTCTCTGCCTTGCAGGGGAGCCGCACTAACACAGAAATACCTAGGTTTGCTGTTACCTTGATTTCCTTTCTTCTCTGTCAGGACCCTCTCTTTTGTGCCCAAGGAATCCTAGCACAGAGCCTTATACTCAGAATACAATTTACAGCTCTACCTAGGACTCCTGACTGGTCCAGCCCATTATTTTCGGCCCATTAATTCCTCTCTGTCTCTTTGATCAAGTCATTCTAACAACCAGGCCTCTCCTCCTGCCAATTCATATTTACCATAACTTGAGATGGGATTCAAAACACACATCTTCCAAAGTAATCTTTCTTGGTCCACTCCACTCTACTCTTGTTACAAATTTACATACTCTTAAATATTATGAATTCATGTTGTATTAAGACTTTTTTGTTTACTATTGATAGGTTGCTTCAGAAATGTTCAGATGGTCTGTCTCCCAATGAGATTTTTCAAACAGAAAATTTTTTACATAAAAAGAATATAATAGATTTAAAGTTCCTTGGAAACAAAGATTGTTCTATTTCCTCCTGGTGCCTAAGAATAACAATAAAAGTTATAAAAGCCCTATTCTAAGCATTTTATGTATATTGTTTCTAATTCTAAGATACAAGTGCTATTATTACCTTCATTTTTTGGATAAGGAAATCCAAAAGATAAAGTAACTCGATTCCATCACTCTTTAGTAAATGGCAAAGTTAGTATTCAAATCCAGATGATCCATTTCTAAAGTCCATACTCTTAACCGTAACGAGATTAAATAGCAATTTGAAATAGTATATACTCAAAACATACTTGATAGGTAATGAACAGTTCAGGGATCCCCTCTGGTGGTGCAAGAGAATAGAAACAAAGACTTACTTCCTGCAGTTCAATTCGGCCCTGGACAATATGGGCAGTCAGGTTGTTCGTAACCATTGTATTGAAAGGAGCAGTGGCTTCTTGATTCTCCCAGGACCTCAGCTCGTTCATTCCCAGGATGCTTTCTGAAGCAGATTTAAAGGCAGCAACAGTAGGGTCTTCATTGCTTACCAGGTGAATTTCTTTCAAATTACCTGTCCATTGTACCTCTTGCAAATAAAATCTGATAGTTTCCACAATGATCTGTGTACACAAATTCAGAGGGAAGTTGAAAATCCCAGAGCTCAAGGCTGGAATTGCTATTGTCTCAAGGCACTCATTGTGAAAGATGGCGTAATCCAGAATATTTTTAATGGCAGTGCGCAGCTTATGGAAGCATCTCTCTCTATCCGCCTCGGCCCACCGAGGCCCAACAGCATGCATAATGAGTTTGCAGGGAAGCTTCCCTGCTCTTGTGATGGCTATATTACCAGTTGGTACTTTACCATGTGTGGAAACGATTCTTGTGCTCTCCTCTTGAATTTCTTGGCCGCCAGCTTTCACCAGGGCCAGGGCCAAGCCTCCCCCATGCTTAAGATCTTCATTGGCTGCATTCACCACAGCATCAACAGCATGTCTGGTGAGGTTGTCCTTCCAGACAGATAACGTTAGCCCAGGAGTAAGCATTTTTCTGAAGACTTGCAGAGACTCACTGTTACGTTCCTGGACTGGAGAGACCAGGGTAGACATACAGCCAAATTTATCCTGGAGGACTTCACACAGCTGATGCTCATTCTTTTTTAAAATTTTGAGGTCATCGTGATTAATGGGTATTTGCCAACTATAGTTTTCTCCAAGAATGTCAGTCTCTGGAAAAGGAGAGAAGATTAAAAAAAAGAAGAAGAAGAAGAAGAAATGAGCAAGGGTTCCTTTGAAAAGGATGTAATTCCACTTCACGTCAGAAGACTGAATTCCCTATGTGCAAAAGATAGATAAACTTCTAGTCTCCTTCCTGATTTTCTTTCTCACCTAGACATGTAATTAAACAAAGGATATCCAAGATTTTTCAATGGTAAGTCACCCATAAAGAGCTTAGTCTTGAGGCTAGCATACAGTAACTACTCCATGAGTGGTAGCTACTATGATACAATGATGGTAATGAGAAAACTGTGTATGGGGGCTCATGAGTTCCAAAATCTATGTAAAAATGGTGAGTGTGGGAAGAGTCATGCTTAAGACACAACAAGTATTAGAAATGACTTAATTATGAGTCAAAAATACAAGGAGGCTTTATTTATAAATTGTTTGCTTTTGTCAGTGTCTTAGTCTGGGTTTTCTCAGAAGCAGACTCTGATATAAGGATCTGAGTATAAGTTTATTTTGAAGGTGATCCTAGAAAACACCAAGAGCATGAGATGGGGAGGGCAGAGTAGAAAAGTAAGACAGGGAAGGGAAGGAAATGAATAGAGGACATGTTATGAAGCAAAGGAAGCTTAACTCCACTGGGAGACAGTGTGTCTCAGAGTTATACCACCAGAAGGGTAAAGGAGCTGGGATATTCATCCAGCTTCTATCAGACATTGGTCAAGGATGCTCCTGTGAGGGCATGGTCCAGCAAATGGGTAGAGTGTCATACTCTAGTCTCGTAGCACATTTTTAGTGGAATTAAAACCGATTGACTAAAAACTACTTACTCTATGTGGCAGAAAAGAAGATATGCAGCTCAGATCCCCCTTCCATGTGGTTATAAAGGAAGGAGTATGGTTAACTAACAACCTCCAGTTGTTAGCCATCTCAGCTTTCCAGCCAAGGTCATGCTATCAATGACTAAGCAAGGCCATTTTTGTCCATTGGGGGCCTCCCCTCATGGGCAATCTCAGGCTGGCAGAGTTTTGCCAGATTTTCCTAACAGTCTGATGGCTCCACCTGCCAAATTTGGTTTCTTCTCTTTTCCTTTCACAATAATCCTTTCGTATTCGTAACTCCATCTCAGTTTACGCTTCCTTGAGAACCCAACTTGAGACACTGTATTTCATGGAGTCTAAGGCATCATTATTATATGCCACTGAAAAAGGAAAACCGATGCGAATTAAACGATGGCACATTACTGATTGATAGGGAAGAGCTTTATTTCAGAAATGTGAAAAAAAAAATGTGCCTCTTAAAATAGGTAAAATGTGGTGATGAATTATATTTTACTTCAACTCCCATTTCTAATTTGAGCCACCTAGAAAGATCTCTGGTGGCTTCAATTACCTAAAAGAAGTGGCACATGGTCTGTGTGTTGGTTGAAAATCTCAAGGGCCACCCCTAGGATTAGGCAAGCTCCGTTTGGCTCTTACAGCCCTTGTTGGTTAGCGGGTCACCACTTGTGACCAATATCAGTCCTAGGGCTTTGGTCAGAAGAGTCCCACATCTTGTGGGCAAAGGAAAGGATCAATTAGAGCCCCAGTGTGGCTGATGCCACACTACCTCTGAAGCAGTCCCCCTTCTGAGGCATGTATTGGGTCACCACAAGGTCCTGCAATCACCCACCTGAGCACTTGTGGGAGAGACAGTCTCCTTCTGTATTCCCCTTTCTCCACTGAGGACAGAAATGAGCTAAGATTTTCTGTAACAAGGCAGGGAGTGAGGCAATCCTACCTGATTTCTCATTGTAAGCTGCCGTTCCAGCACCCTGTGAAAAATGAGAGTAGTTTAAAAAAAAAATTGAAACCAAACGACTACAGATTACTGATAAGAAATACAGCCTAATAAACACAAAGCAACAGAAACTCTGCTAAAAGCACTGGGTTTGAGGGGGAAGAGGAACACATTTGTTTGTTTAATCTGTATACCTGAAACTCTTAAAATACTAAATATTCTAGCAAACATGGACCCTACCTCATTTTCCTAGAGGTCAAAGAGTTTCTAATTCGGGATGAACTGAAGGGCTAGAGATTAACATTTGAAAAGGCCCAACGATCACAGACCAAAATGACCAAAAACTTTCAGACAGGCGTCCAGTTTCCAAAGGCTAGGGGTTTTTCTACATAGAACAGAAAACATGGGGACATGAGCCTCATCAGCTATATAACTCCTCATCTACCACTTTCAGTTGCTTATTTCATGACACAAGCCTGAATGTAAGGACCCACTTTCAGTTGCTTATTTCATGACACAAGCCTGAATGTGGAATTTTACAATTAAACAAAACAAATGAAATGTCATTTTTCTGTTCCCTTATTTTTATTCTTCCTCCATCATCCTCCTTCCCACCCCATCCTGCAAAAAAATCAGAATTGTTGAATGAGTAGAACAAATCAAAATGATACTGAGATCATATTTAAAAAAATCATCCATTCTCATGGTGACTCTGTTGATTAGATTAACATTTTCTTGATTCCCATCTCACATGGCACAAGAAAAAAACTTTTATTGGGCTATTAAAACCAAATAAGAATGTCAAGTAAAACTGAAGACCCAGATTTCTTGCTGTTATAGGAAGACCTATTCATGTGCTGAACAAAGTTCATGATTTATATATTTATATAAAAGTACTTTTACCTTGGGAAAGTCCATTCTCCAGGTCCTTGGGGGTCTTTAAATGTTTATACTCTGTTTTGTGTTTCCGAGCATAGACTGTTGTTCCCAAATACAGTGTCCCACTTCTAGGAATGAATAGAAAGGATGCAGTAAGCATTGACCAGCATCTTAGGGGATTTGCTAAGAATATGCCATAGGAAGATAAATATGATTTCTGATCTTGAGTAGTTTTTAGTTTTACTGATGAAGATGCACTATTGTTTTGCTTCTGTAGTTATTGTTTACCTTCTGTCCTTTACAGAGAGGTTCCAACTGAAACTGTAACGGCTGCTCAGAGAAGGGAAAAGGCCATGCGGGCTACAGCAGGTAAAGCTTTATGGAGAAGGTAAGACCTGAGCCAGATCTTGAAGGATGGAGCAGATTTTTACACAGTTAGAAGAGAATGACACCAAGTGGTAAGACTGAGCTCAGCATTCAAAGAACAATGAGGAAAAACCAGCCTTATGAGTGAGCATGAAGATCTCCGAAGAGTGTTTGAAGAAAGGGAACTGTACTTATGCCTGTCAAGGGTGTGTGTTACTGAGTTTGTGATAAATTCCTTGATTGAATTAGAAAGGGGACTATTTGGTTAAAAATCAGAATCTTTGGAAAAACATATTTTAACGATTTTCAATCTACTGGGTAGGAATTAAAGACTTAATTTTTAGGACACCAATGATGAAAATACTTGACACAGTTACCTACATCTGTTGCCCACTTAGTTGCCATTAGGCCTCTGAAATGATTTCTAATGCCTTTACAATTCAGAAATTTTGTACAACTATCTAGAGCATCAGAGCACTATTATTCCTACGTTTCAGGAAAAGCACCAAGTCCAGTACAATCCTGAAGGACGAGAACAAGATGCGTTTTTGCCTCCAGAGGGCACTGGTGTTTTCACAAAAGAAGAAAGTCTGTTTGCTTTGTCTGGGGGCATCCAGTGGGCTTTTGCTTTAGATGGTGTCACACTTGTTTTCTTCTTTAGACCAAGCTTTAAAGGCCTAAGGATAAACATGGCGGGTAGGGAGTTAATTAACGCCAAAGAAATTAGAAACAAGGAGCATATTGCCCAAAACATTCAATCTCTTCCATTTTAAAAACAACACCAATTAACAACAAAAGCCTTCCCAACTTTCTATCTCTAGTTCCTACTGTGTTCTTTTCTCTGCATAGGCAGCATGAAGAAGTTGATTCCTCCCCATCCATCTGCCTCTTCAGTCCACTGTAGTGGGCTCCAAAATACATTTATGGTGATTTAAATGTATTTAATTTTACATTTTATTGTTTGAATAGATATTATGTTTACTGGTTCAAATTTAGAAAGTATACAAGGCTCCCTCCTACCCTAACTGCAGAGTCATAAAGTTGACGCAGTTGTAATTCCGATAGTACTGCCAAATTACTCTCCATAAAGACTGACCCATTTCTAGTCTTACCAGCCATGTGCAAAAACCTATCTCAGACCTCCCTGCCACCATTCAGCCCTGCTTGGAAATGTATCTTCCACATGGTTGTCAACACCATCTTTTAAAACGCACATCTAACATGTCACTCTCCTGTTTCCCTCGCTCACAATGCTTCCCTTTCTCCCGACTGATCTTCAAGACCCTTCGCCATCTAGACCTGTGCTGTCAAGTGTGGGCCATTAGCCACAGGCAGCTCTCGAGCTCCTGAAATGTGTCTAGTCCCATCTGAGTGAGGTGTGATGGAAATATGAGATAGATAGCAAAGGCTCAGTATGACGAAAAGCATGTAAAATATCTCATACTGTTTTTAACATTGATTATACGCTGAATGATTATTTTGGAATACACAAATGATTTAAAAATTTAGGATATATGGAATTAGATAACATTATTCAAACTAATTTCACCTGTTTATACTTTGTAAAATAAGCTATGTGGCTCTCATTATATTTCTACTGGACAGCACTGATCTAGACCCTTCCTCCATCATCTCCCTCACCCATTTCATCTCCTCCAAGGCCCCATTACTCCCTCTCTGCTTCAGATCACAATGGCCCCTGTGCTTCAGATGCTCCTTCCCCCTCACCACACCCCCTCACACTCATACACAAAATTCTCTACGATTCTGCTTCACACTTCCTCTTGGGGGCCTTCAAGAGATTTGCTTCTTTATTAACAAGTCCGCCTCCCTTTACGAGCCTGTAAGGTCTGCGGCCTTCACATTAGGCTTTGTTTTCTAGAACACAGGGCAGCATATAGTCCAGCACTGTTAGCCAAATCAAGGAATGAGGGCAGGAAAGCCCCAAGAGCCAGTCAAAAAGATAGTGGCTGCAAAGAGGTAATAATGGGCGATACAGAATAACGCAGGTGAACAGTTAAAAAAAAAATAATAATGTAGGTAATTAATATGAATTCAGAATGTAAATTACATTTTAGCTGCATATCATAGTAACAATAATAATGTTAAAAGTAGTCACGAACTCAGGATAAACTTTCTTTGACTTCGGCACCTGCCCCGTTTCATTCTCACCCCACCCCCAACCCTCTGCCCGCAGCCCCTCAGGAGAGGACATGCGAGAGCCTCGGGGACCCCTGGTCCGGGGAACGCGGGACTGGACCTACTCACCTGGAGTACCGCAGCTGGAAAGGCGGCCATGAGAGGACGAGGAACGGCTCTGCCGGGAACGGCTCTGCCGGGAACAGGGAGGGATCTTGGGGAAAGCGAAACTGAAACTTTGCGGCCCAAGGCGACAGGGCGGGATCCACCCCTGCCCCAGTCCGGCCCCAGCAGCGCCCGGAGCCTCTGTGCCAGCCGGACGCGGAGAGCCATGGCCTCGCACCTCTGCCCGCCGTCCCCGCTGCTCGTGCGGGTGTCCGAGCCCGGCATCTCGCTATCCCTACACAGGAAGCTGAATGCCTACTTCCAGAGCCGGGACTCGGATGGTGGGGAGTGCAACGTCCGACCTTGGGGCCCCAGCGGCCAGGGTACCTTCCAGGTGCAATTCTTGGAAAAGGAAGGTGAGCCGTGGGCCTGGGTTGCGGGTGAAAAGGCCGTCCCTGCGGCCCAGTCCCGCGGGATTCGGGGCAGACCCAGGGTGAGCTGATCTGAGAGGGCGGGAGAAAGTATGGCAACTCTCTGGTGGGGGACAAGAACCAGGGGCTCGTGCTACCAAGAGACGCAGCCCACAGCAGCGGAGGATAGAGCCCCTCCGTGCCCAGTTGGTGATTTGGTCTGACTGCGCCTTAAAGTTGACGCTTTCCGATATCGTCATCCTGACATATTTCTCAGCTCTCGGAACACCTCTCCCTCCCCCCATACGCCTGTCACCCCTTGCCATTAGGTGTTCCACTTGTATATTTTAAATAATTATTCCATTGATTTATTTTGGGGGATGCACACTGTAAAAAAGAATAAAGAAGAAAACTACCTAGAGGTAAACAATGTGAACATTTTCATATATTTCTTCCAGCCTTTTTCTATGAATGTGAGTAAACACATGCGTATATTTACAAATTATGAGTCTGCATATTTATCCCCTGCTTTTTTTTCACTCCATTTTATATAATGAGTATTATTCCACATTATTGAAATGAGAAACTGAGAGTTTCAGAGACATGACTTTTAATGAGAGGACAATGTTCCATTATCATTGAATTTTCATTTCCATAGTAAAAAGCTACCCATTCGAGAGTTCTGAATAGCACCCTCACATCCCCTATCACCATCCCACCACCCCAGGATGCAGGGAGCGGCCCTGACTGAGAGAGTGCTGGGGCAGGGTACAAATGCATGAATAAGAGGGTTATTTGAAATCACGCCCATGTCTATGTGTGTGTTTAATGTCTCCACTAAAGCCAAGGAGAGAGTGTTGAAAAAAGAAAATCACCAAATGTTGGTTGACAACAAACTCGTGACTATTTTCCTGGAGCCCACTAAAAATCCAGTAGAGGAGAATACCAGACCCGGAATATCTTCGTTGACACTGTCACAAGAAGGGATGAGGTCTGGTGAGAAGGATCCAAATGAAAAACATGTTCCTAGTGCTGTGGATTCCTGTGTCGAAAAGGTGAGTATTGAAAGAAAGAGCTGGGTATGTGTCTGCAACTTCCTCTCCAGTCACCATACCTTTCATTACTGGTCCAACAACCATTGGCTGAGGACTTGCTATGATCCAGGCACAGTTTTAGGCACTAGGACACGCAGAGGTAAATACGACGTGTCTCTGCTGAGAGTGGGGAGGTACATAGGACAATAAGCAAGTAAACAAAAATAAAACAATTTTAGAGAATGATATGTGCCTTAGAGAGTGACAGGGCCAGGGTGAGGACAGGGAAA